CCCGGCCGCCCCGCGCGCCCCCGCTGCCGGGGTGAGCGCACGTGGGCGCCGAGCGCGGGGCCGCGCGCCCACCATGAACTCCAGCGGCCCGGGTTACCCGCTCGCCTCGCTCTACGCGGGCGACCTGCACCCCGACGTGACTGAGGCCATGCTCTACGAGAAGTTCTCGCCCGCTGGCCCCATCCTGTCCATCCGCGTGTGCCGCGACGTGGCCACCCGCCGCTCGCTGGGCTACGCCTACATCAACTTCCAGCAGCCGGCCGACGGTGAGCCCCTGGGGGAGGGGGGCGGACTGACCCACCGACAGACAGGCAGACAGCATCCCAGCTACCCGCGCGCGCTTTCATCTCTGGCTACTCCTGCAAAATCTTCCATTTTGCAGCCAGGGAAACTGAGGTCCAGAGATACAAGGCCTTGGAAGGGGCTCCGAAAGACCCCGGAGACAGGAACTAGCAGTTAGTGTGCTCCTACTGTGTTTTACTGGTGCTCCGTTTTCCGGAAGAGCTGTTAAGACAGTGAAAACAGCCAAGGGCTTTGGGGTCAGCCAGACCTGGGATTAGAAAGCCGGCAGCTGTGCGGCTTTGAGCAAATGAATCATTCTCAGCTTCAGTTGCCTGTCTGCAAAATGGGGGTGGTACCTGCTTTATAGAGTGATTGGGAGGATGAGCAGTTCAAAGCACCCGGTGAGGAAGATGCCGTAGAAGGCACGGGTGATGAGCGGGTCAGCCGGGAGAGCTCGGCCTCGGGCTGTGGCCTTTCCCGGCAGCCGGACCCGAGGTCTGCACCAGGCGCCTCCACCTTCGGGAACCGAGAAAAGCTGCCTGCGCTCCAGGCTCCACGACCCGTTTCTCAGAGCTGATAGGATTGATCAGGGCTTGTCAGCTAGTTGTTGAGTGGAGAGGAGAGAGATTAGAGCGCAGGGTTTTGTTGGAGCTCTGCCACTAGGGTGCGAGCTTGAGCAAGATTTCACGCTTGGCATCTCTTCATCTGTAAAGTGGGGCTAAGCCTTATTACCCAGTAGCACGGAAGGAATGGAGAGCTTTGTCTATGAAGTGGCTCCAGTATCACGTGGTACATTGTAAGCCCTCGGTAAGTGCTAACCCAAGAAAAATCATAGTAACTACAGCGTTTAGGTGTAAGACTCCAGAAACATAACCAAAAAAGACCTGCCCCAGCCAAGTCCAAAAGGGCGTGCCTTTACTCTGAGTCTCCTGGGAGGATCTAGGAGTTTGCTGTGGTGGTTCTGCCGGTTTCCCAGCAGGTGGCAGAGCTGGATTCCTGGGAGCCTTCCCTTCTGCTCTGCTTTACCCACCCACTGCCTCTTGCCATCTTCCTCCAAGCCCTGTACAACCTGACCTTTTTGCCAGACTTCATAGATGGAGAAACTGAGCTCCAGACAGCAGAAGGATTTTACTCCTGGGTGTTTATGGTAGGACTAGATGGAAAACCCAGACTTCTTGAAACTTGCCCACTGAGTATTCCACAGTTCCCCTCCAAACCCTCTGAAACCAGAGGTGTCCCTGAAGCAGGGGACAGCATACCACCTGGCAGAAGGATGGGCATAAGCTGTTGTTTTTAGACATACTACTGTTTACCAGACACCTATTTTGTGCCAGGCACAAAGTACAAGGTGCCTTGCACACCTTATTTAATTTTCAGTCTGTCTGACAACCTGGAGGCAGGTGGTATTCTCTCCCTTTGTTAGATGTAGAAATGTGGGTAATATTATCATCATCCCCTCTTTAAAGGTGTAGAAGTGGGCTCAGAGAGGTGATGTTCACTTCCCCGAAAGCCATACTTCCTTGGGATCAAATCTCAACTCTGCTGCTCAGCACCTCTGAGCTTCAGTTTCCTCAAACTGCTGCCACCCTTGTCATAGGGACCCTCCTGATCTTTCCCCTTTCTGAGCCTCAGTTTGCCCTTCTGTAAAATGGGGATAGGAATTCCTGCTCACGTCATTATGGTGAAGAGTTGAAGGACATCCTACCTGGAAGGTGGGAGGAGCACCACACACATGAATTCTTTCTGTTTATCCCTCCTGAGCCTTCAAGCTCTTATCCCAAGTGAGACCTAGACAGTGGCTCTTTTCTTTTTTTCTTTTTTGGCTCAGTTCCCAACTACGCTCCTTGGGGCTCAGGGAAAGAAAATCCCCTTCACTAGCTCCTTTCTCTCCTCTTGTCCAGCGGAGCGGGCACTGGACACAATGAACTTTGAGGTGATCAAAGGCCAGCCCATCCGCATCATGTGGTCCCAACGAGACCCAGGACTTCGCAAGTCGGGTGTCGGCAACATCTTCATCAAGAACCTGGAAGACTCCATTGACAACAAGGCCTTGTACGACACCTTCTCCACCTTTGGGAACATCCTCTCTTGCAAGGTGGGTGTGCCTCTTGCGGGGGTGGTTCTGTGTTAGACACCTGTGTGGTGGTAGAGGGATACCAAGCAGCACCTCATCGGTAAAGATCCAGGTTCAGCAAGCACCTGAATGGTAGTTGTTCTCAGTTTTAGTGGTCACCTACATATCAATTGGCTCTTGCTGTGTAACCACCTCCTAACTTCGTGGCTGTCAACAACTGTGATTTATTCCGCTCGTTGGCGGTTGGGGCTGAGTTCAGTGGAGCAGTTCTTCGGCTCTTGGCTGGGTTCCTTTGTTTGCCCACTGAGAGCTGGATGGCTCTGCTTCTAGGGAGTGGGTGGTTGTCAGCTGGACCGTCTCGGCTTTCCTCCCTGTGGGCTTTCATCCTCCAGCAGGCTAGCCCAGGCTATTCTCATGGCAGTAGCAGGGTCCCAGGAGACAGAGTGGAAGCTCGCCTGGCCTTTTGAGACCTAGGTTCAGAACTAGCGCACTGTCATTTTGTTGCGTTCTACTGGCCAAAGTAAGTCATGCGAACAGCCCAAATTCAGAATGAGAGGGCAGTAGAAATTATAGGACAAAGCAAGTAGATCCAGGAAGGACATGATGGCAATGGACCAGACCTTGTTTGTAACATTTCTCCTATAATAGAATGGAAGTTTCCTAGGAGTAGGGATCTTGTTCTTATTCACCACTGTATCCAAGTACCTGAGATGTGAAAACATAGTAGGTGCTCAATAAATATTTGTTGAGCTAATGGCTGTATTATCATTTGGGAAGGGCTGTGGTCATTTCTCTGACTTTGTAGTTGAGGGTCAGGGGCCATGCAGCACATCAGTCTGTCCTGACAGGGCTTAACCCTGGGTGTTTTGCCCACTAGATTTTATAAGGGTGGCTGGTCAGTTACCCTTCAGCCTTTGGCATGTCCAGCCTTCTGGGGAGGCAGCAGGGGGGATGGGGAGTGATGGCACCCTCTGTGTTAGAACTCTTCCTTGACTCCTACTATGTGCCAGGCACAGTCCTGCAGTTCTCAAGTGAGGCCTCACCACCTCCCTGTGAGTGAGGGGATATCCCTGTGACTCAGAGGGGCAAACAGACTGGAGGAGGTGCAGTAGCTGCGAAGGGCATGCCATGATAGACAGAAAGGGCTGTTTCCTGTCTTTGAGGATCAATGGAAAAGAGAGAGAGTCTTAACTGTGTGCTAGGTTCTTACAGTGATAACAGCAGATTTATCCAGAACTTTCTATGTGCTAGATTTTCTGCATACACATCCTCACTGAATTTCCCAAAATGGCCTCTTAAGACGCAAATAGGAAGATCCCGGAGTTACCCTGGAGGGCAGAGAGGCTCAGAGTTGGGGTTACTTGTTCACAGTTATATATTATAGGGGTGGGAGGTCAGTGGCCAAGGCAGGATCTGAACCAATGGGTTTGCTGGCTTAGCTGAAGCTAACTTAACAGGGAAGAGTATGTCTGTCCCCGTTATCCAGGCCTTGAGGCTTCCTCTGGACCACTGAGGATTGGACAGAAAGTTCTGTGAGACTCAGGCAAGTCTTTGCAGGCCTAATGAAGCCCTGTTATGGGCCTGGTTAGATACGAGGCATTCAGTGTGGTCCCCTGGTTTTTGCTTTTAGGTTTTATGAGTATGGCTGGTCAGTTACCCTATAGCCTCTGGCGTGTCCACCCTTCTGGGGAGATGGCAGGGGTAGGGGGAGAGGTTGGGAGTGATGGCACCCTCTGTGTTAAAACTATTCCTTGTGTGCTACCAAGTGCTCTCAGGCTGGTTGGAGATGGTGAGACTTTTAGGAACAGCTGGAAATTGGGCTGAGGGGAATGCATGGGGATCCGGGGAGTCAAAGACCCAGAAAGGAGAGTGTCCTGGGGCTGAGGAAAGGTTTCTGAGGCACTGTGGAACTCCACTAGGCTTGGGGTCACGCCACTCAAGTTCAAAGGTCAGCCCAGCCTACCGAGCAGAGAGTCAGCATGACATAGTCAGCCAGACCTTGGACTTTGGGGTCAAGTGTCCTGGGTTCAAATCCTGCCTCTTCCACTTCCTGGCAGTGTGGCCTTGGGCTGGTTTTTTAACCTCTCCATACCTCAGTTTCCTCTATAAAAGGGGGCAGTGGTAGAACCTACCTCTTAGGGTGGTTGTGAATGTATATATAGATAGCCCTTGAAAGAGTAGCGAGCATCCCATTAAGCATCTACAGGAATCAAATAGTTACTTCTGCTGGCTGGCCGACCTCGGACAAGTCATTTATTCCCATTTTCCCCAATCGGGCAGCTGGGGCTCAGAGGTTAAGAACTGCCTGGAAGGGTTCTGATGACAAATATAACAGTATGTGATGCCCTTAGCAGGTGCTTGGCTCAGAGTGGAACCCAGTCAATGTGATTAAATCTGAATGACAGGCCTGGGCTTGAGTTGAAAGCAGAGGGACCCTGCTTGGGGCTGGAGGGGTGCGTGTTGGGTGTGGACTAGGAAGCAGTACTTGTGAAGGGCCAATTGGAGAGCCTCAAATGCCAAGTTGGTATAGTTCTGTGGATTATAGGAGCTACTGGAGATTATTTCCCAGAGGGACATGATCACAGTTACATTTTGGAAAAAGCATCCCAGTGGTCAGCCCAGAAGCTGGGTTGGGAGGCTGGGGTGGTGGTCGAGGCAGAAAATGTCACTTAGTTGAGCCGGGGTGGTGGCTGCAGGGATGAGTGGAGCTGTGGACCCCATGAGATGGTCATTAGGGGTCTTAGTGCAAGTTCAGCCAGAGGGACAGGAACTCTGTGAACTGAAGACCTTTCCCATTCGTGAGGTCTGTCCTAACTTGAGTCGGGAGCCCCACAGAATGGGGGTAGTATGTTTGTGGGTCTTTTCAAAATTTGAAACAAGTTTGCTGTTGAAATAATAGATTAATTGGTAAAGTTTAAACAACCTGGAAAGGAATAAAGTAAAAAAGCTTTCGTCGCTTTCAACTCTAGTTCCCGGAAATAATTATTAACAGTTTTGTGTGTGTCTGTTTTAAAAATTTCCCTGCCAAAAAAAAAATTTCCCTGCCAAGATATGGAAGCAACCTAAGTGTCCATCAATGGATGAATGGATGAAGACGATGTGGTTTACATATACAGTTGAATACCACTCAGCCATAAAAAAGAATGAAATTTTGACATTTGCAGCAATGTGGATGGACTTGGAGGGCATTATGCTAAGTGAAATAAGTCAGACAGAGAAAGACAAACACTATATGATATCACTTATATGTGGAATCTAAAAATTACAGCAGACGAGTGAATATAATAAAAAAAGCAGACTCATGAATACAGAGGACAGATACAGAGGACAAACTAGTGGTTACCAGTGGGGAGCGGGACGAGGGGCAATATAGGGGATGGGGAGTGGGAAGTACAAACTATTGGGTTTAAGGTAGGCTCCAGGGCTTCCCTGGTGGCGCAGTCGTTGAGAGTCCGCCTGCCGATGCAGGGGACATGGGTTCGTGCCCTGGTCTGGGAAGATCCCACATGCCGCGGAGCGGCTAGGCCCGTGAGCCATGGCCGCTGAGCCTGCGTGTCCGGAGCCTGTACTCCGCAGCGGGAGAGGCCACAACAGTGAGAGGCAGGCGCCCCGCGCCAAAAAAAAAAAAAAAAAAAAAAAAAAAAAAGATAGGCTCCAGGATGTATGGTACAACACAGGGAATCGAGCCAATATTCTGTAATCACTGTAAATGGAAAGTAACCTTTTAAAAATGGTATATAAATAAAAAAAATAATAACCATCCCACACTTTCTCTCTTTCTGCTTTCCTTCCTTCCTTCTTTCTTTCCCCTCTCTTCCTCACTTTCTCTATCTTTCTCTATTTCTTTGTCTCTCTCGCTCTCACTTTCCAAAAGTTTCCCCTAAATATGTACATCTTGTGTTAGCGGAAACACAATTGAATGTTACCAAAAAATGCCAAAAGGTTTCCCAAAAGTATAGATGCCCACTTTAACCCAAATGGGCTTGATTTTTTCCCCCCACTTAACAGTATACCTTACAGGTAACCCTGCCAGCCGTGAAATCTACCACATTCTCTTCAACTATGCACATACAGCAGACCAAGATGAATATACTGTAATTTACTTAACCAGTCTCCTCTTGATGGATCTCGGGTTGTTTCTAACTTGCTGTTAGAAACAAAGATGCAGAAAGGGGAGAAGGTGGCTGGAATCTAATCCTTTTATCCATCGCTTTAGGAAGATCATTAAAAGCTGGTCTGTGGGATAGATGAGATCTGCGTTCAGTTTGAGGACTCTATCCCTCCCTACTGTGTGATCTTAAGCAAGTAGATTGACCTCTTTGAGCTTTCGTTTCCCATCTCTAAAATAGGGCTGTTGTGCGACATAGCATTGTCTTCACAGGCACAGAGCAAGCACTCAGACATTAGTCATTATTGCTGTTGCCATTCTTTTTCTCTGTTGGATGCTTTTCATGTCCTGTTTCCCTGTGGCGCAGGTGGTGTGTGATGATCATGGCTCCCGAGGCTTTGGCTTTGTGCATTTTGAGACCCACGAGGCTGCACAGAACGCCATCAGCACAATGAACGGGATGCTGCTGAATGACCGCAAAGTGTGAGTGGTGGGATGTGGGTGGCGCCAGGGCTAAAGGATCAGAATCATGGTGCCACTGACTTAGGACCTATAGTACTGCCACCGTCTAATGGGCGCCTGGCACTGAGCAGCTGCTGGTATTCTTCCTGGCAGTATGACCTCGGACGCGTTGCTCAGTCTCCCAGGGACTCCCTTTCCTCAAGTAAAACATGGGGCCGCTGGTATGCATTAGAGGGGTTCTGAGTAGCAAATGGGGCAATGCTTTAGAAATTCTAGCAGGAACAGCTAATGGCCAAATCATCAATGGGCAGAGTGATTTTTTGTCTGTTTTCCAGCCTTCTCAGCATGGCTGTGAATTTTATTAAACCTTTTGTTTCCTGAGATGTGGGGATGGGAAGGAAGGTTGGCATATGCTTAGCCTGCCATTTTCATGCCTTTAAGTTTGGCATCATCCCCACTTCACAGATGGGAAAGTTGAGGTGCAGATGCTGGAGAGAATCTGCTCTGGCCGTTGCCTCCCCCAGTTCTGGTTCTGCCCATCAGATGGCTCAACCCCATGCCCGAGACTGAGCAGTGGAGGAAGCTTTGGGGTGGGAGATGCACCCAGAGTCATTTTGTCTGGAGTTTCTCAGGGTAGCCTCCTGTCAGTGAACGAGAACTTTGGCGGGATTTTCCCAGTTCTCCAGAAGTGTGTTTCTAACTTTGTCAGCTTTTAGTTTGCCTGCTTTCCTTTGTCACTCAGTTTCCTTCCATTTTTGGTGTCAGCTATCACTCGTTTGTGCTAAATGTCTTATATCAGGGGTCCCCAACCCTTGGGCCGTGGACAGGTAGTGGTCTGTGGCCTGTTAGGGACCGGGCTGCACAGCAAGAGGTGAGTGGTGGGTGAGTGAGGGAAGCTTCATCTGCCGCTGCCCATCGATAGCATTACCGCCTGAAGCATCCCCCCATTGCTCGCATTACCGCGCAAATCATCCCCATCCCCGTCCGTGGAAAAATTGTCTTCCACGAAACCGGTCCCTGGTGCCAAGAAGGTTGGGGACCGCTATCTTACAGGTACCATCAAATTTTCTTATGCTTGCTTTGTTTTTCTTAATCTAGGATACTTTCCTAGATGTGTTTATGTGGACTTGGAAATAACAATTTTTAAAATTCATAATGTATTTAATGATTTCAGTGCCCCCCTCCCCCGCCCCAGCAATGCTGGCATAAACCACATCTGGTTCTCTCACAGCCACTTCCCCAGTGCATCCAGTACGTGTTAAATGAATAAGCAAATCCCTGTGATGTGAGTTTGATCCCCAGTTTTACAGGAATGAACACTGAGGCTCAGAGAGGTTAAGTAACTTGCTCAGGGTCACACAGCTTGGTAACTGCAGAGCAAGGATTCAAGCCCTTGTCTGTGTGACTCCCAAATTTGTGCTCTTATCTCCTGAGCACTCAGCTGCCTCATGTGCAGTAGGAGATCCGGTGCATTTGCCCCCAGAATGAAGTCGTCTTAACCTTACGCTGGAACATAGAAGCTTGGCTGTTGGAAGTGGTCAGTTCTTGGATGTATGCCATCTAAGGAGCATTGTCCTGCTCAGTCCCTTGATGAGGGGTACAGAGATCCTGAAGGCCAGCGGCAACTGACTCAAGTGACCCAGGCTTACTGGGTGGGCCGGGGCAGGGATGGGGGTGGCCGATGGCAGCCATAGGCAGCTGCCTACCTTGTTGGTGTGTCCACAGCTTCGTTGGCCACTTCAAGCCCCGACGGGAGCGGGATGCAGAGCTGGGAGCTCGGGCCATGGAGTTCACCAATATCTACGTGAAGAACCTCCACGTGGACGTGGATGAGCAGTGCCTGCAGGACCTCTTCTCCCAGTTTGGTGGGCGTGTTCCCCAAGGGAGTTGGGGATCACTTCTCTTCTACTCCCAGCTTGGGCTGGGACGGGGGTGTCCCCTGGGGCTTCCTGAAGACTTGGGAGAAGGGAGGGGACATCTCAGGGCTTGCCCGACTCCCCTTTGAGACAGGTTGCCCTTCCTAGGGAAGATACTGAGTGTCAAGGTGATGAGGGATGATGGCGGCCACTCCCGCGGCTTTGGCTTTGTCAACTTTGAGACGCATGAGGAAGCCCAGAAGGTAGGAACCTCCCCATGGCCCTGTTTCCTGGAGGAGGTGCGGAGCCAGGACTAGGAAGAAGGGGGATCAGGAGCAGAGGGCTCCAGCTGCCTGTGGAGGAAATAGTCCCTCCCCAGCATGGGTCCACACAAGCCAGAGCCCTTCCTGCCTGGGGTGAAGGCAGATGCCTTCAGCCTCCTCTGGTTGCTTCCATACCCTGAGGCTGGCTGGCTTTTCATAGAATCTTGCAGCATGGGAGCTACTAGGGGCCTTTGAGACAGCCATTACCCTCTTCTTGAATTGATCTTGGGATTGAGGCCAGGGAGGGGAAGTGCCATGTTATCTCTTGTTTCCAAGACTTTGAAAATATTGTTTTCTCAAAACACGTCCCCTCCCCTACTCTTTAGACCAATGCTGTCCAATAGAAATATAACATGAGCCACATGTGCAGTTCAAAATTGTCCAGTAGCCACATTAAAAAGGGTTAAAAAAACCCCACAAAAACCCTGCAACTTTAATAATATATTTTATTTAACTTATTCAAATTATCACTTCAATGTGATATTGATATAATTGATTGTGATGTAATATTTACATTGATAAAAATTGAGATTTTACAGTCCCTTTTTTGCACTACGTCTTTGAAATCTGGTACCTCTAGTCCATGTCAGTTCAGACTAGCCATTTTTCAAGTATTCAGTAGCTGCATGCAACAAGTGATTGCCATGTTGGACAGCATAGCTGTAGATTATTGATGGGTCTCAGCTTATACTTTTCCCTCCTTTAGGAAGCCACCTCTTCCTGTCCTCAGTGCTTCTGACAAGGTGCCCCTCCTGTCTGTCTCCATCATTAGCTCAGATCTCCACGGATAGAACTGAGGGCAGGGGCTGGGTCTCATGTCACCATTAAATCTCTAGCATTTCACTGCTGGTAGGTACCAGATACATATCTACTGAGCAAGTGAATGGTACAAGGTCACAGTGTGAGTAACAAAGCAGGGATAATGTCCGATTTTCCCTCGCACCATGAAGCTCTTTCCGTAGCTCCTGCCCCATTAAGATCACTGGTCATGGGAGAGCTCAGCTCATAGTGGATTCTGGCTGGAGACCTGGATCCTGGGGCCATCTTGATAGCAGCCACTTCTCACTGAGCACTTACCACAGGCAAGGTGCTACCTGATTTTGCATACACTGTCCTGTCTCCTCCCACCAGTGTGGGCTCTACTGTGGTTATCAGGTTCCACCAGGTTGTAGCTAGGAGGAGAGAGCACTGGGATTAGAGCCAAGTCCTTCTGACCCTGAAGTTTTGTTCTTAAGTAAAGGGCTCCTTCGAAAGGTAACGTCTTGTGTCTCCTTGGACATGTCCCACCCTCTCTGTAGACTTTGGTTGCCCCAACTATAAAATGACAAGATGGAGTAGAGCAGTGAAGCTGGCAGGGGAAACCATTGACTCCAGGGTCTTGGAGACTTTGGTAATGACCTGTTTTGGGTTTTTTTTTTTAAGATTTATTTTTTATTTATTTATTTATTTTATGCTGCATCGGGTCTTAGTTGTGGCACACAGGATCTTCGTTGAGGCATGCAGGATCTTTCGTTGCAGCACGTAGGCTCTTTGTTGTGGCACACGGCGTCTAGAGTGTGTGGGCTCTGTAGTTTGTGGCACGCGGGCTCTAGTTGAGGCGTGCAGGCTCAGTAGTTGTGGCGCACGGGCTTAGCTGCCCCACTGGCATGTGGTGTCTTAATTCCCTGACCAGGGATCTAGCCCACGTTCCCTCCGTTGTAAGGGGGATTCTTTATCACTGGACCACCAGGCAAGTTCCCTGCTAATGACCTTTAAGACTGCTATAGATCAGGCAGTTCTTGGGCTCCCAGAGTGTTTTTATATATATTTACATATGTTTGCATGTCTAGGTAGGGAAGCAATTCATTATGTGAAAATATTTACTAATGAACTGACCACTTAAAAAGTCAGTTCCCTTTCAAATATTTCTCCTCCCTAACACCAATGTCTAATCCAAACCTTTGAGTCAGTACTCACATGGGTCTGATTTTTGCAGATAAGTCAGTGCCGATTCCGTTCATTATTAGTGGATTGCAGAGAGACATTGCACGTCTTTTTTTTTTTTTATGTGACACCAGGTTGGGTCACCGCCCCTGAACGAATTTAGTAACAATTTCTCTCTCCCTCCCTTTTTTTTTTTTTATAATTTATCTTTATTTTTATAGTGGAGTATAGCTGATTTACAATGTTATGTTTCTTTCTGGTGTATAGCAACTTGATTCACTTACACAGAGACATCTATATCTATATATTCTTTATCAGATTCTTACCAATCTTATACATACTTTTTCGGTGATTACAGTGTGTTGAGTCAAGTTCTATGTGCTATACAGTAGGTCTTTATGGATTAAGACATTGCACGTCTTGCAGAAGATGTAGGAATTCATGCAATCAAAGCCACTGACAGTTTGGGATCTGGCAGGCTTAGGCCAGTTAACTGAAGAAAAGAAAAATCAAGGGTTAAGAAGCAAATATTTCTAAAGTCCTCATAGCAAAAACGGTTCTCTGTGCTGTGAAACCCAACATGAAGGATGTTGATTATGCCATCACAGCCCTTTTGAAAGAATTATGCTTGTTGCCTTGTTCTAATCATCAGTGTGTAGTTACAGTTAGGACCTAAATGTTAAATCATGGGAAACTTTGCACATTTCAATTTCACTTTTTCAAGTAGAGCCCAAATCAATTTTTTAAATTCTATAGTTTACTCTGAAATTCTGTCCCATGTTTTTAAAAAATGGATTCACTTTAAATGGCCTGGATTCTGGTACTAATTATTCTCAGCTAACAAGGCCAGCCTGGCTTGCAGGTGGCCCCGTCTGGGCCCAGAAGATGGGACTGGAGGTCAGGGCTAAGGCCAAGGCCTCGTGGGGGTGGTTACCAAGCCCTCTGGCTGCCTCTTCTCTGTACAGGCTGTGATGGACATGAACGGGAGGGAGGTGAGTGGACGGCTGCTCTACGTAGGCCGGGCCCAGAAGCGGGTGGAGCGGCAGAATGAGCTGAAGCGCAGGTTCGAGCAGATGAAGCAGGACCGGCTGACCCGTTACCAGGTGAGGGGCAGGCTTCCTGTGGGGCAGCTGCTTCGATGTGAAAGTGTCTGTGTGTGGGCAACCCTGAATGCGACTCCCTCCTCCAGCAATCCCGCTTCTGGGAACTTGGCTTTAGAGAGGCAGGGAGTGGGGAGGGGCTGCAGCTTCCAAGTGATGGATTCTCTGAGTGATGGGTGAGGTGCAGAGGTGCTGCATGAGACTGAGAACTGGAGGCTTGGTGGGAGGGGCTTCCAGTGCCTCCTTGGCCCATGTACGCCCCTCCCCCCACCCCAAGTCATTCTGGGGCTTGGAGGGGAAGGGGCACATCTAGCAGGTATCCTTTCCTTCTAGGGCGTGAACCTGTATGTGAAGAACCTGGATGACTCCATCGATGATGAGAAACTGAGGAAAGAGTTCTCTCCCTATGGAGTCATCACCAGTGCCAAGGTGAGGGCCGGGGGCACCCACAGGGGATCGGTAGCCTTCCCCTCCCATCCTCACTGCCCACGCACACCCCCATCCCCGCCCCGGGGCTTCCAGGGATTTGGTGCTGCGCTGCTCCTTCTGGAGTTTGGGAGCTGGGTCTGACCCCATTGGAGTTTGTCGTCCATCTGCAGCCTTGTCTGGGCTGGAGGGGAAGAGGGTAGAAATACAGTCCCAGTCACACAGCTGGACTTGCTGGGGCTCACTGTAACTGAGGTTCATTCAACAAGCATTTATTGAGTGCCTACTGTATGCCAGATTCCAGAAATCTGTGTCTCAGAATTTCCATTGGCTTTTGTTGTCTGGCCTTGGCTGGTGACATAACCCCTTTCCGGGCCTCAGTTTCCCCACTTGGAAAATGAGAGGCTTGGGCTGCATCATTCTTCACTCATTCTTCCCCACGTATTGAACAGCTACCGTGTGCCCTCCTAGCACCAGAGATGTGATGTTGGCTCTGTGACCTTGAGCAGATGTCTTCCGAGCCTCATCTATAAGATGAGGGTGGGCGGTGGGCTCCCTGGATGGTTCTGAACCCTGGCTTCTCATTAAAATACCCTGGAGAGCTCTTAAATAGACACCCGAGTCAGAAAAACTGAATGTAGAGCTCTGGGCATCTTAATTTTAAAAGCTCCCCACGTAATTTTAAGAAAACCTAGTGTTCGTTCATTTCATACTTGAGCACCTGCTGTTTTGCCAGGCCCTGTGGGAAGCACACAGGAATAAGTGAGACGTAGTCCTTGCCCTTGAGTAACTTATAGTCTAGTGGGGAAGTCGGATGCGTCACTAACTCAAATCTACTGTAGGGTGGAGTGGGCTTGGGGTAAGTGGAGGAGGCAGAGCTGCGGGAGCTCAGCAGAACAGGAAGGAGGGCTTCCTATAAGAAGTGGCAGTGGCAGCAGCGTTTGACTTGACTGTGAGGAGGTAGGGAGCTGCGGGTGGGAATGAAGGACTTTCCAGAGAGGTCAGTGTGGGTGACGGGGCTGAGGACCTGCACGTGTGGTGTGATGGTTGGGCTCTTAGGACGTGGTCTAGAAGTTCTTTTGCCTGTTGAATTCAATTTAAAATGTCCTTCAGGGAGCCTGGTATTTGGGGAAGAGGTTCTAATAATTTTTGAGTTAAGGACGTTTTCCCCAAAAAAGTGACAGAAAGCTGTGGGGCATGTGAATTAAGCATCAGGAAATCTGATTAAATTTATCAATGAGTAAATTGATAAATCTGATTTATAAAAAGCTCTGGGCCCTCTTTCCTGGCAAATGCATACTTGGTGTAGTATTATGGTTGGAAGCTGGGATTTTAAAGTTAATCAGAAGTAGGTCTAAATCCCAGTCCTACCATTAACTACCTGTAGAGCCTGAAGGAAGTGACATTGCCATTTGGACCCTGTTTACCCATCTGTAAAATGGGAGCAACATGACCTACTTCTAGCGGTGTCCTGAGAACTAAAAGGCCTGCAAGTGGAGCACCTGCCCCCGATAAGTAGTGAAATAATGATCTAGTTGTTCACATACCTTGCATATAATTTCAGGAGATTCACTGACCTCCTTGAGGACCCCTTGAATGAAGGGAATTGTACAAAATCTGGATTGCTTAGAGTTGATGCACAGTGGGGTGGACCATCTTGTTATAAAATGGGAATTTTACATAAGTTTATATATACTTATAAAATTTAATATATTTTCTATTTTATAAAATAGTGATTGAAAATGAGATGATAGTGTTACAAGCACTTTGTAGAGATTAAGTTCATAGTAAGCTCTGCATGAGTATTTTTTATTATTTTATTTATTTATTTATTTTCTATTTATTTATTTAGGCTGCATTGGGTCTTAGTTGCGGCACAGGAGATCTTCACTGAGGCATGCAGGCTTCTTTCTAGTTGCAGCGTGCGGCTTTTTCTCTCTCTAGTTGTGGTGCGTGGGCTCCAGGGTGCGTGGACTCTGTAGTTTGTGGCATGCGGGCTCTTTCGTTGAGGCGCGTGGGCTCAGTAGTTGTGGCACATGGGCTTAGTTGCTCCGAGGCATGTGGCATCTTAGTTCCCTGATAGGGCTCGAACCTGTGTCGCCTGCATTGTAAGGCGGATTCTTTACCACTGGACTACCAGGGAAGTCCCTGCATAAGTATTAGTTGTTTTATCTTCTTTAAAGCTACCAACAGAAGTTCTTATTAATTTGCTAAGACAATATTTTTGTGCCAAGAAAATTTGGCTATCTCATAAAGCCTATGGACCCCTTCTGAGGATATTTTTAAATGCATAAAAGAAAACTCATAAGATTACAAAAAACAATTGGATTGAAATATATTTGTTAAAATATGTTCTGCTTTATTAAGGCATCAAACTGTAAGATCTAGGGGAATTCCCTGGCCGTCCAGTGGCTAGGACTCTGTGCTCTCACTGCCGAGGGCCTGGGTTCAATTACTGGTCAGGGAAGTGGGATCCCACAAGCCACGTGGTATGGCTGAAAAAGGTAAAAAAAAAAAAAAACCAAACTATAATATCTAGTGAAGCAGCAATGAGCCTAAAAGATTTTGAGATCAGCAATAATTAATGTGATATGAAAATATTCTTCTTGACAAAGTCACAAGCACAGCTAATGCTACTGTATTTTTTCTTTGCCTATATTCAAAATAGAAGGAAATGCTAATGTAAAAATAAAGATGCCATTTTCCTCCCATCTGAGTTCACAGACCCCCAGAATTCTATCCATTGACCTTCCTGAGGGAAGGTCAGCACCGTACATTAGGTTTGAGTTGTGGCTAATGTATGACCCACTGGCTAGGTGAGTCATTCTTTTTTTTTTTTTTCTCCATAATAGTAAGGAATTTTGTTTCTATCGCAAAGAAAATTAACACAATAAAGCACCAAAAATACAAATTCAAATTATTTTCCTATTCCATACAAATCTCTTTCATGGAGTCTTTAGGAAATATAACTCTTTTTTTTTTTTTTGCGGTATGCGGGCCTCTCACTGCTGTGGCCTCTCCCGTTGCGGAGCACAGGCTCCGGACGTGCAGGCTCCGGACGTGCAGGCTCAGCAGCCATGGCTCACGGGCCCAGCCGCTCCACGGCACGTGGGATCCTCCCGGACTGGGTCACGAACCCGTGTCCCCTGCATCGGCAGGCGGACTCCCAACCACTGCGCCACCAGGGAAGCCCTAGGAAATATAACTCTTAAGAGCATCTTACTTTGTCCATAAGTCACAAATGAACTAAAGAACTGTATGGGTAGTTTAATAAAACCCGAGGAGTAGTTGAAATGCAGATTTTTCATTATAGTGACCCCTACAGAAAGGTTTAAGATTGTAGCCTGGCCTAAGAACCCTGCCCCTAGACTTTAACCTGTCCCAAACTACCATCCCACTTCATTTTAGCTGCACGGACAAAGGCAGATACAGTAACAATTTAAGCCGACTTTCCGTCACCGCTTAGGAATATGTTTTCAGAAGGAAAATTTAGAGATCAAAATTAATTCTGAAATGCAGCTGTTCTCACTAATTCTGGGGAATGGTCTAGTAAACGATGAACAGCCCTCATTAGCAAGTGGACCGGTCTTGGACAAGTCACTCTGAGCCTCACTTCCATCACCTGTAAAGTGGGAGTGGCCATGCCTCCCTGCTCAGAAGGCGTGTCACATCTTCTTTATCCATTCATCCGATGATGGCATCTGGCATACAGTGGGCCTCAGTAAATGTGTGGGTGAGAGAGGACCCCCCCTTAATCGCAGTTTCTCCTGGGTACCCTCAGTACTGGGCTGGGCCCCCCAGGGGGTGGGGAGCGTGGCCCCCGGAGTCTTCCTTCTCCGCCCCCAGCAGCCCTTGTCTTGTCTTGCTTTTAGGTGATGACAGAGGGTGGCCACAGCAAAGGGTTTGGCTTTGTGTGTTTTTCCTCTCCAGAAGAGGCGACAAAGGCCGTGACAGAGATGAACGGGCGCATCGTGGGGACTAAGCCACTGTACGTGGCACTGGCCCAGCGCAAGGAGGAGCGGAAGGCCATCCTGACCAACCAGTACATGCAGCGCCTCTCCACCATGCGGGCCCTGGGCAGCCCCCTCCTGGGCTCCTTCCAGCAGCCTGCCAGCTACTTTCTGCCCGCTGCGCCCCAGGTGACCTCCTGTCCGCATCCCTTCCCTGACAGCCGGGTGGGGCAGGAAGATCAGAGCTTCACAGGCAGACAGAGATTCCCAACATGCTTCTGCTGGAAACTCACTCGGCAAGCGGCCGTTGTCACCCTGTCTCTAACAGGGGGAATTTTGTCCCCGTCAAGCAGTGCTCCCCGATCTGGGAGAGATTCGTGAATGTTATGCTGAAAGATCCTCTGCGGTCAAATACGTCGGGGAAATATTGCATTAAGCCAAAGAAGCCTTGATTTCTTTACTATGTACCTTCTTCTATCCTGATATGCCAGTAGGCACCATGACTTTCCCAAACTGGCAGAGTACGTAGCACTCCCCCAACTTAGATGATCGTTTTTGTGGGACGCCTGCTAACATCTCTCCTGTATGCTAATGTTCTAAGGGGCCTGATTTGGGGAAGGAGCTTGTGTGACCTGGAGGGAGTAGAAAGATGTCTGTAGAAAGATGAATGGCTCCGAGGATGGGAACATTCCTCCCCCTTAGCAGTTACTTAGGCTGGCACAAGTAACAGTGGGACTGTTGCCCTTTTATCCAGGTCACTGGGCTAGTAGTACTGATCATCAGGGGCAAGGATTGAGCCTGAGATCTTGCCCTGAAGGGTCCAGGGCTAATGGACCTCCTGATGTGGGAAGCAGGAGCCTTAACCCCAGCTTTGTGGGTCTATAATGACCAGTCCCCTGTAGGGGACAGTGGAATTCCCATAGTGGTGTCCCTGAGGGAATGCAGTTTCTCACCTCCCCTGCTGCCAGCCCCCCTCACTCTAGGTCTTTCTGTCCCACACAGCCTCCAGCCCAGGCCCCATACTATGGCTCTGGCCCACCTGTCCAGCCTGGCCCCAGGTGGACGGCCCAGCTACCCAGACCCTCGTGTGAGTGACCCAGCCCCTGCCCTCCACATGGGTCCCGTGGGGCAGCGTGTAACACAGTGGGTTAAGGACACGAGCTTGGGGGTCAAGCCTGGCTCTGCCACTTCCCAGGGTGTTAATTTGGGTGGGTCACATCACCTCTCTGAGCCTCGGTTTCCTTTTGTGAACGTGGGCCTGAGTGAGATGTGTGTAAATCACCAAGGACAGGGCCGAGCCCGTAAAAGACACACACGCAGCTGTTATCTTCAGTGAGCTCCAAAGGCTCTCCTGATTTGTGACGGTGAAAATTCCTGCAAAGCTGAAAATAATACTCCTTTGGCACTACTGTTGATGAATGGTCCTTCTCTAAGAGTGACGTTCACCCTGACCTGAAGCTGCCCTGGGGGACCAAGCTGTGTGGTCCTGGTACCTATGCCTCTTGGGGTCCTGGGTAGAGAGAAGTTGGCTTTGTAATTGCAGATTTCCAACGCCCTCCCCTGGAGTTCTGGGTCTGCCAGTGAATTCACTCCTCTTTCTGCTGCAGAATGTTCTGGTTCCCCTCCCCATACCCTTCCTCACCCCAGAATTGTCAGGGTGCAGTGTGCCCGCCTGATTATCCCCCTCCACCTAAACTTTCTCCATATTCTCTATGCCGCAAGCCGCCTATCCGCCTGCAGCCTCGGTTGTCCAGCCAGCAGCCGTGTCTCGGCGCCCCTCGTTCCCCATCGGCAGTGCCAGGCAGATCTCCAACCACGTGCCGCGCCTGGTGCCCCACGCCCAGGGAGTGGGTGAGTGTGGGCAGGGCCGGGAGGAATGGAACAGAGGGTGGGTGCGGTGGTGGGTAGGGGCTTGCTGCTGGTAGGGAGTCAGAACCGGCTTCCACGGTGACCCTGCTGCTGGCCCCCTTGGAGGGCAGTGCTGGCATCTGAGGCCGTGCAGTGGGATCCAGGGTCAGGGTCCTACCAACCCAGTTCCGGGGCTGACTCACTCTGTGGTCGTGCTACCTACTGTACCTGGTATCCTCTTGTCTAAAATCTGGGTGAGGGACTTCCCTGGCGGTCCAGTGGTTAAGACTCTGAGCTTCCACTGCAAGGGGCGTGGGTTCGATACCTGGTCAAGGAACTAAGATCCCACAATGCCGCGCAACACGGCCAAAAAAAAAATCCAGGTGGAAGCAGTATTCCCGTCGTGTTATGCGGGTGAAAGTGATCATACGTGCAGGGGCGCAGCACCAGATCTGAACCTGAGTACTGCGACAGCTGTGAACAGGAGAGCAAGTTTTGGCTATAAGGCAAGCATCCGTTCCTTCATTTGGCAGATGTTTGTACGCCTGTGTGCTGACCCTTTACTCGGCGCTGGGGATTCTACGTGAATGCTGGTTTTGAGGTGTCATGCCTTTGGGTTGCTGTCGGCCTTACCATCCCTGCTTATCTCTTACAGCCAACATCGGTACCCAGACCACAGGACCCGGTATGGCAGGATGCTCTTCACCAAGGGGGCCTCTCCTGACACACAGATGTTCCTTGGCAACACACAACACCCACCGGGTAAGGCTGGCCCAGCTGCCCACTGAGTTTGGGCTCTGGGGGTGCTTGGCTCAGAACCTTGTCTAAGGTGCTGGCCCTGTCTGGGCCTTGGTTTTCTTTCTATCCTTGGCTTGTAAAGTTTCCTTTATTAACATGTACCATCAGAAGAGATATCCCCACCCACCACCCACTAACAGAGGGGAAAAAAGACCAGGATCACATTTTGTTTGTTCATCACAATTTGCTTTGCCTGGGTTATTACCAAAATTAACTTGGGTTTCCTTAGTATTTACATAGTAAGCAGCAAGGATGTGATCAATCTGCAGAATAGAACTGAAAATATCTTCTGTAATTAAAAGCTGTGTATTTATCTCCCTGCCCCCTAAAAAACTCTCCAACTCAGCATTTTCAGATCCTGTCTAGAATTTCTGTGTGTATACTTCAAACTATTTCTTGTAAAATGAACAAGAGGAGGCTTTAGAGAGCAAAATGGTTTTAAAGTTACCAAGATGCGAAAGGGTCAGAAATCATGCTGGGGATGCGGCCATAAAGCTACCTGATTAAAAAGTGCTTTCTTTAGCACCAGGTGGTCAGTAACGTGTGGCTTTCACTTGACAACACGCATAGGGTTCCTAGAACCATGGAACACGTCTGCACTAGGATGTCACTTTGTCGTCTAGTCCACCATGCCCTTGTTAGGGATTCTGTCCCGCCCGATTGTCCACACCTTGCCCCCTGCTCCCCCTCTTCTAGGGCCTTCCTGGAGGCCTGTGCTCACCCGACAAGGGTAAGTGTTTTGAGGCCTTGCCCATCCGTGTGGTTAAGGGATGTGTCCCCGGCACCATGTGCAGGTCCAGGAGCCTGCTGTGCGTGTCCCCGGACAGGAGCCCCTGACTGCGTCCAAGCTGGCCGCAGCGCCGCTGCACGAGCAGAAGCAGATGATCGGTGAGTGGCTGGTTCCTCGACCCTGGAGCAGGAAGGGGGCGCCACCAGCCAGCTTACCTGGTGGGAAGTGCCTTGAGTGGAGGTCAGATGTGGGGATGAGGTCCCCAGCCTCGTGCTGACCCACCTGCCGGGTGGACTTGCCCAGAGGGCCTTTACTTCCCAGGACCCTGTTCATCTTGTCTTAAGACCCTGGTCAGACCAGATGGTCCCGAGAGCTCTTCCAGCTCTGCTGTTGTGTGGCTTCGACTCAGGCTGGGAGAGACCCCAGACGTGGGGAGATGAGGGGCCAGGAAGGGGAGCAGAAAGGTAGGGTCTTGGGTTTCTGCCAGGAAATGGCCCCTAAGGTGGGTGCTGTGGTACCTCACACCTCTCGTGATGGGAAGAGGCTGTCACCGAGTTTCATCGGTCTCCCAGTGCCCACGGCAGGGAGGAAGAACATAAACGTGCCCTGGGAAACAGACATTGTTTCCCCTGGCCCCTGATCTCCCGTGCAGTCCATCTCCATCCCGGCCTCTGTGGCGGGCCCTGCTTAAGGAGGCCGCTACCTGCTGAATGAATGAACGAGCTTGCTGTGGTTCCCAGGCTCTTTCCTTCACCTAGACCTCCAGACTCTTCTCTGAAGGCCCCCAATGCCACCACGCCATTGTTTGCTCGGCTCGCTTGGGGTTTTGCCACTTTACTACCCGCCCCCAAAGAAAAATTCTAAATGGGCTTCATGGCACTGCTTCAAGGCTCTGCAAGCAGTGCCCTGGGAACGTCTTCACTCCCCTTGTGGGAGAAGCCCTCCCCCACCACAGGAGGCACCCAGCACCCCCAGCCCCGGCTGCACCCTCCACACGTTGCCCAGATGGGCTGACCACCAACACTAGGCCCAATCACTCGAAGTGCCCAGTGGTGGAAGGTAAGTTTATCTTGTGTGCTTGGCTCCCCTGTCCCTCCAAGAAGTCAAGTTCAGCATTATCGCATCCCGTCTAGAATTTCAATGTGATCCTTCAAGTGATTTCTTGCCAAATGAACAAGAGTAGTCTTTAAAACAGCGACCAACCTTGTGTCAGAGCCTATGCAGTGTACTTTACACGTACCGTCAAATTTGATTCTTCACACTAGCCTCCAAGGCGGGGTTGGCTATGCTCACTTGGGGAAGAGGCCCCCGAGAGTGTTCAGTGACACACCTGGAGGGAGCAGTTCTGGGACAAAAACCCGGATGCCCCCTCTGCTGCGTTCCACAATACCACCCCCGCCCTGGGATGCCCGGGCTGTCCGCCAGGTGTGTGCATAAGCCTCAGAGGCTCTTCCGTACAGGTGAGCGTCTCTACCCCCTTATCTACAATGTCCACACCCAGCTGGCTGGCAAGATCACGGGCATGCTGCTGGAGATCGACAACTCGGAGCTGCTGCTCCTGCTGGAGTCCCCAGAGTCCCTCAATGCCAAGGTGGGCTGGAGCCTGCGAGGAGCGGGGAGGCCTCGGGGCAGAGGTGGGTTACCGATCAAGGCCTCTCCTAGGCGAGCTGGTAGGCTGCTGCTTAGACAGGTGAAGTGTATCTTCTTGCTGAAATCAGCTAACACCTGCAGAATGTGGAGGTGGCAGAGGGCCTTAGTGAAGGGCCGGCTACTTTAGCCCCCGCGGCCTCCCTGCAGCTCCCCAGGCAAGACTGTGCGACAGGGCGCTGTGTTCTGACCCAGCCCAAGGGTTAGGCTTCCCCCAGCCGTCTGGCAGTGTAGAAGGTGGCCGTGGGTTTCTGCCATGGGAGCCGGTGAGCACAGTCAGAGGGGGCGGCGGGGCTGGGCACGGGCCTTCTCGCGTCCGGTGGGCCGAGGCGGGGAGGCAGGGCTCTCCCGGGACCCTGCTGGGGCAGCCGCACCAACCCCTCCCCCGTGTGTCCCACAGGTCGAAGAGGCTCTGGCAGTGTTGCAGGACCATCAGGCCATGGAGCGGACCTGAGTGCACGTGCACCGGGACCAGGTGGGTGGTGGTCAGGGGAAGGGTGCCGGAGCAGCCGAGCTCAGAGGCTGTACAGAGCTGGGAAGGGACATTCACAGACTCCCAGAGAACGCTGTGGTGTCACTGGCTTATCTCGGAGGCACCAAGGAGGCGTTCAGGGGAAGCTGTGACGATCAAAGGCAAGGAGGACAGACCGCATGATGGGAATTGGCGTGGACTCCGGTGCTGAGTGGGCCGGCCAGCCGGCCGGCCGCCCCAGCGGCCTCGCTCAGAATAGGCTGGCCTTCCCCCAGGCACCGCCTGGCCCCACGCGACCTGCCGGAACGCCTGGCTTGGGCTCGTCTGTGTCCTTGCTTGAAGACTAGGTGTCTGCCACGCTTTAGAAATATTTATTTTTTCATCCCCAGAAAATGGACTCCTTACTCCCTTGGCTGACAAGAGAACCGCGTTTCCTGCTCTTGGCTCTAAGGCCCTGTGAACCGTAACTTCCCAACTGGGCTGTATCTGCACTTGAGCTTTTTGTGGAATGAAGGCTGGTCACCCGGCCAGCCTCTTACCTGTTGCTTTGTGCATTAAAAGTGCTGCAAACTCCGTCTTGTCTCCCAGGAGGCCTTCTTGTGTCAGAGGGAGGTGGGCAGAGCAAAGGGTAGCCTTGACTGGGCTGGGGCTTTGGCTGTAAGAAACAGGAACAGAAACCCAAAGGTGCGCTGTGCTAACGCACACAGAGGGCATGTAAACCGTGCACCAGACAGAGCAGAGCAGAGCTGCCAGGAACTGAGTAGGATGACCCGTAAGGGCCCCAGAGGAGCAGCTGCCACCCACCAACCGTGCAGCAGGGGGCTAAGTGGTCGTCACACAGCAATGAAGCTGCTGGTGCCCACGTGTGCATGGGGGTTCTGGATGCCCGGCCTGAGCAGCCTGCAGGGCAGGGTACTCTGGAAGCAGTAACCGCTTTGCTCTGGGCTGGCCGACTAAGGCGTCGTGTCACAACTCCACTCTTGTAGAAAGGCTTTCGGTTACCTTCCCAGGTTGTGATTTCCAGGTTATGCTGGTCTACCTACCTCCTATGTTTTCACGAGGAAATCAAGCTACTTGGCTTGTGGACCTCAAGAAGAGAAAGTCAGTCTGTTGTGACTAGATGGCACCTCTAAACCTGCCTAAAATCGGGTGAGAGTCATGCCTGCTTGCGAGGCAGCAAGAAAAGGGGGTGCAGCTGCTCGCTTTGAAATGGCCCCCAGGCCCGGCCCGTGGAGTTTCTGTGACTCTAAAATCTGCTTCAGCCTGGAGATCTGGTTGCTCAGAGACTTGGCCCTTGGGGAGGGCGGAAGCAACGTGCTAACAGCTGAATGTTGCCCAGAACCGAACGGGATGGGGGAGCAAAGGGACAATAAGAACCCTGTCTGCCCGGCTTTCTGGAGTCAAACTTCTCCGTTAAGATGAAAACAACTGAAGCTAAGACACAGTCCAGGCAGGCAGGGGAGGCGCCCCAGCCTCACCCATACCACACTTTGTGAGGCTGAATGGCACTTCCTGGCCCCGTCCTCCCAGCAGAGGCCTTCCCCAGTGCTGTTCCGTCTGCTCGGATTGCGCTTCCCTCCCCTCTTCACCTGCTGTGATCCCCACATTAGAACTTAATTCAAACTTGACTTCCTCAGGGACCCCTTTTCCTCCACGGGGTCAAACCTCCCTAGTTGGGGAAAGTGTTGCGACCACTCCTTCAGAACACTGCCGGCTGCAGTTTCACTCTTGTGTGAGTAACTTCCTGTGTCCCATGGGACAGTCAGCCCTCTGAGAGCAGGGACCGTGTCTATTTACTCACTGCTGTTTCCCCAGCACTATACGTAGGGCCTGGCCCACGCAGACAATCCAGTAAATCTGATCAAAGAATGGATGAGTGCTCCATAAGCAGTCTTTTTTTTAATTATTGCAAAGTTCCAAAATGAACCAAAACTGAAAAAGCATAAATGAAAGTACAACAGACATTTATGTAGCAAACATTAATGCAGTAGCTTCAACACATGGTTCAACAGAATCAGTCAGTTCAGTCAGATTAACGTCAACATATTACAAGGAACTAAGAAGCCTCGAGGGGTCCCTGCCCAGGATGGAAGGACACTGACTTCCAGGAGGCCTTTCTCCCTGTCTCGCCTTCCGAAGTGGCAGCCACACCTTCTGGCTCTTGAAACAGCTCAGGCACCTCCACGCAGGGGGCGACAGCACAGAGCCACAGACAAAGCCGGCCGAGGGCCAGGTCCTGCATCCCCACCAAAGGAGGGCTCGGCCAAAAGGCACTGGGGCTCAGAACACAGAGCACTGTGCCAAGGACCGGGCAGGGACAGCAGCGCTGGAGACCAGCTCAACAGGCTGCTTTGGGTGTAGGCGGGTGAGGGCTTCCCAGTGCCCCCCACGCCCCAGCCCAGGTTGCTCAGGTGGACCACGGTGAAGGTGCCTGGTGACGCTGGAAGGGCAACTCGCTCTGGAGCGTGCTGGGCAGAGACAGAGCCGAGGGCTTTGCCTATGAGGACCTGTCTGTGTGACCCGCTCGCTGTCTGCAGCACAGGGAGTTCGGGACAGGGAGAGACCTTTCCAACAAAACGTCTTGTTTTTGACTACACTGAGCTTAATTTGAACAGGCAAATCCTCTTGAGGAGTGGGAGGCCATCACATCTCTCAGGGGCAGAGGAGGGTGCTTCGGAGCTTGCTCTGGGGCATGCCGGGTCCCGGGAGCAGGCACGGAGGAAGGTGGTCAGGCAGAGGTGTCCTGCTGCCCCTCTGGGTTTTTAGTTTAAGCTCCGGTTAACCTCCTGCCGCAACTTCTGTGCGGGACCGTTCCTGGGCTCAATCTGAAGGAGGCTGTTGATGTCCGCAAAGCTGGATTTATAGTCCTGAGAGGAGAGAGAGGGTGTGGGGATGGAGCCCTGGCCCAGGGAGACCAGGCGGGGGTGGGGACCGCTGCTGAGCCCGCAGAGGGTTTCTGCAGCCCAGCCTGGAGGCCTGCCTGGAGCACCTGGGCCCCTGGACGAGAAGGCACGTGGCAGGTACGCCTCACCTTAACCGTGCTCTGGAAGTGCCAGCACAGGCACAACTGGCTGTAGCTCTGTTGGTGCCTCCGGCCAGAATCTCTTTACCTTGAGTGCCTTGTAGGCTTGAGCCCGTCTGTAAAATGCCTTCACGTTCTTTCCGTCCAGACTGAGGGCTTCCGTGCAGTCCTTCACGGCCTCCTTGTACTGCTTTAGCACCAGATGGCAGAGCGCCCTGAGGGGAAAGAGCGGGCCATGCAGCGGTCTGAGGAGCGCCCTACGGCTCCCCGAATGCACCGTGCTGGGTGCTTCCTACCTCCCTCAGTCCTCACGGCCACCCAGCCCCCTTCTGCAGAGGTGACGTGGCTCAGGGGGTTGAAGGGACGCGCCAAGCTTCCACTACTACAGAGGGGCAGACCTGGGACTCAACCCGGGCTCGAACGACCCGAGATCCTGACCGTGTTCGGTGCTATTGTTCTGTCCGCCTTACGCTCCCACACTGTACTCTTCCAAGCTATAAGAGGCTTCCCGAAACGCTCCCCTTGATAAAAAGTTATCTACCTCAAGAAAAAAACCAAATACCAGGCTCTAAATAAATAGCAGGCATGCTGACATGTTAGGGGTGAAATGTAAAGATGTCTACAACTTACGCATCAAAGATGATAAAATGGATCGATAGATGGCTATAGTGACAAAGCAAATATAACAATGTTCTTTTTAACTGAAGCGTACTTGATTTTATAACAGTGTTTATGAATTTAATTGGCAAGTATATGGGTGTTCAATACATAATTCATTCAACTTACATTTTGAAAATTTTCACATTCTGCATCAACTGGGTGGGGGGAAAGTATATATTTGTATCTCTCTCATTCAATTTTAGTCCTTTCCCCCAAAGATAATCACTAAAAACAAAACAGATATCCATTCCACCTCACTTTTTAATGGATACATAGTATTCACTTGTATGTACCACAATTTATTAATTCCTTATCAGTAGACATTTTTCACTGTTTCCAGTTTATAAATAAACGATGCTACCATGAACATCCTTGCACATAAATCTTAGACGCCTATTAGGAGGGACTGCTGCATCAAAAGGTACATACATGTAAATTTTTGATTATTACCAAAATGCTCTCCAAAAACCAGCTGACCCTGGAGGAACACGGGTTTGAACTGCGCAGGTCCACTTATATGCAGATTTTTTTCAGTAACAAATTCTAGAGTATTACATCATCTGCATTTGGTGGACTCCATGGAATGCAGCAAAACCGCAGATACGAGAGGACGACTGTAAATTATGCTGAGATTTTCTGACTGCAAGGAGGGTCAGTGCCCCCAACAGGCGCCTTGTTCAAGGGTCAAGTGTACTTAAGAACAGTTACTAACAGAGACTATTTTCCTGCAACTGTACCAACCCTGGGTCTCAACCTTTAACTTCTGCCAATATGGAAGAAAATAGCATCTGTTTTAATGTAGTTGCTTTAAATACAGGTAAAGCTGAGTGTCTTTACATAAGATTTTTAAATCTTATGAAATAAAATTTATCCAACTTCTTTAATGACTTCTGTGGGTCCCCCTCCACCACCACCAAATACCTTCCCCACTGCAAGATAATTAACCCACACACTGTTCTAGAACTTAATGGTTTTACTTTTTACATTTGAAACTGTGATCCACTTAGAATTTATTTTAAAATAACGAGTGAGGGTAGGGATTCGGGTTCCTTTTGAACTCTCTCCAGCCAACCCAACACCATTTATTGGATAATTCCTTTTTCCCACACTTTATCATATCTAAATTCTCTTATGCTGTTATTCTTTTCCTGACAAATTATGGAATTATTACCAAGAATGTAAAAAAATTCTAGTATTTTCACTGAGATTGCATGGAACTTATAAATCAACTTAGAAAAAGCTTCTCCTTGTAACAATTTAAAAGCAGGCACAAATTCTGTGGCATTCTTCCCATTGAAGAGGTCCTATGTTCTTTCCTCTTGAATGTAGGCAGGTTCTGTGACTGTTCTGACCAACAGAGTAAAGAGGAACGTATGAGTCCCAGTGGTAGGCTACAGAGGTCTTGTAGCGTCAGCCTGTTCTCTGGGAACACTTGCTCTTGGAGCCTTTAGCTGCTATGCGAGAAGCCAACTATCCTGAGGCCACCATGCTGTGAGGACACTCAAGCCAGCATATGTGACAAGGCTGCCAGGAGAGAAGAAAAAAGGCTCCAGCTTGCTCTATCAGTTCCATTACCCAACCATTTCAGTCATCCCAGCTCTGGTGCCAGATATGCAGGAGAAGTGTTTAGATGACTCCAGTCCCAGCTACCATCTTGTTGACCCTGAATGACAGACCCTGAGTAAGAACTGCCCTTTCCGAATTCCTGGCTCACGAATCGTGAGCAAAATAAAACAGCTGTTGTCAGCCACTAAGTTTTAGAATAGTAGTCCCTGATCTAAATTTGAACATAGAAGAATTCTAAGGAAACTAAAGTGTTCTCTCAGTGGACTCTGGTAATTTCAAGAATTAGCCACACTTCTGGGAAGTAGAGGAACCAGAATATAAGCATTAGGTACTATTTGGTGACTTCTGAATATAAATGTTGCAATGAAGATGATTACATGTGAACTCCAAAGATTATATTCAAGATGTGAAAAACGCGCAACTTTGGCCTGTAAAATAAACACCCTTGGCTTTTGGTAAACAGAATGATTTTGTATCCAATCAGAAGGGTTTTCATTATGAAGGAGACAAGTGAGTGAGAAGGAACTCAAGCTTGGGAGTATAAACACCTGACTTAAATCGCAGCTCCACCACATATTAGTTGTTTAACTTTATGATCATTTAATTCTAAAATTAAATGATCTGGGACCATGACCTAACCTGAAGGACTGACCTGAAGGACTGCTGTGAGTACTAAATGAGACTCTTCGGAGGTCCATTCAGGGCCTGGCCAATTGTAGGTGCCAAGTACCTGACAGTGATATCCACTCAGGTATCAACTGTACAGACAGAACCGGAGCCTAAGATGATGCACTGGTCCATACAGATGCATATGTACGAAGTGGAGCATTAAAATGGCATCCAGGATGTGGTATATTCCGCCACAATGGATAGAAAATTGATCTGTATAAAGTTTTCAGTCTTCTAAATTAAATTTATACAATCAATGTAATTACATTCAGTCTTCTAAATTAAATTTATACAATCAACGTAATTACAATGTAATTACAACCAAAAGCCCAACAAGATACGGTTTGGAATTTATCACAGTGAACCTAAGGTTTAGCTAGAAGATCAAAGCTGGGAAAATAGCCAGGGATACTCTGATTAAGAAGATTAAGGAAAAGACCAGCCCTACAAGATATACTGCAAAGCAATAGTAATTAACAGTGTGGCACAGACATATTTGCATGAAAATCAGTATTTAAATAAAATCAGTGTTTAAATAAAACACTGTCCTGAATGTGGTACAAATCCAGGAAAATGGGTTAATAGAGGTCTCCAGCAACATGAGGTAATAAGCAAGGACAGAGAGCCCACAGAAAGAGGAGTTAGAAGATGATGCTGGACTTCCCTGGTGGTGCAGTAGTTAAGAATCTGCCTGTCAATGCAGGGGACACAGGTTCGAGCCCTGGTTCAGGAAGATCCCACAGGCCGTGGAGCAACTAAGCCGGCGCACCACAACTACTGAGCCTGTGCGCCACAACTACTGAAGCCCGTGTGCCTAGAGCCCATGCTCTGCAACAAGAGAAGCCACCGCAATGAGAAGCCTGCACACCGCAACGAAGAGTAGCTCCCACTCGCCGAAACTAGAGAAAGACCGCGCACAGCAACAAAGACCCAACACAGCCAAAAATAAATAAATTTAAAAAAAAAAAAGATGCTGCTGCACAAACATGAAAAAAGGGGCTGCAGCCCTTTTCCCTGAGTTAGCCTGGCTGACTGAGGCACCCGGGTCCAATTGGCCAGTAAAACCACAGATCCAAAATGCCAAAATCCATGCTTTAAAACTAAAAGTTCCCTTCTCAACTCATTTGGCAGCAAAACCTGACCTGAACTTACATGAGGCTGCTTAGTCTTTCTTTACACCATTCCATGTGATCCTGGAATTTCCGTATGTTTCACTGCAGAAATACTTAACGATTAACTTCCGCGAGACGCCCAGACCCTGCTGGAGTGTTATGTGACTCAGCATATGCACTATGATACCTTCCTAAAACTGGAAACACATTTTATCCCAAGAGTTTTGGATAAGGAACAGTGAGCCTATAGGAGACCCAAGATTTCTGAAATAAAGAGTCATGTTGGGAAGGAGAAACAGACTCACAAGATTTATTAACGACTTATAACAAATGTTTGGATCAGATCTGGTCCCTTGCTGAATGTTTCAAGCTTCTGACAGTAAAACTAACAGATCTCACTGGAGCCAGGTTCCAATTCTGTCTCCACCATTTACCGGCTGGGTGAGCTGAGGACAAGCCCTTCCTGCTCTGAGCCTTGGTTTTCTCAACATTAAAACAAGATGAGCATCTACTACCAATACCTTTGAGGGCTACTGCTGAGCAGGGACTCCTACACAATAAAGAGACAGTACCCTGGCTCCCAGGCTCTCACTGTTGGTGGAAAGAATCACCGACCACTGGCAGCAGCTCAGGGCGCAGGCCCTTCTATATTGCTGCAAGTCCAACCCCTCAGGCTAGACTGGATCCTTCTCTCTTGCTCAGGCCAGGCAATAGTTAATCCATACCCTGGGTTCTGCCCTGGTGCTCGCAGACAGACGGTGCTGAAATTTCTAACCAGAGGGTCTTGGAGAAAGCCCACGGGGTGAGAGTCGGGGAAGGTGCAGAGGCTTTGATACTTGTGTTGGAGGGGTGTTTGCATAGCAAGCCCATAGCTTTTACTCACATCCTATGTTTTTCTGGTTAATTAAAATTTGGGGGGTGGGGGCGGCAAACAAAGCCCAGGCTCCCCTTGGGCACCCCTCAGTTTCTGCCCTTTAAGAGAGTGAGTGCCACTGGCAACACCTATCTCACCGTGACCAGAGTGTGAATGCACGTTTTGAGCTGTGACGCACAGGCATACCTCGTTTTACTGTGTGCTTCAGATATTTTGCAGATATCAAAACTGAAGATTTGTGGCAACCCTGCATCGAGCAAGTCTACTGGCACCATTTTTCCAGCAGCATTTGTTCACTTTGTATCTCTGTTTCACATGTTGATAATTCTCACAATATTTCAAACTTTTTCATTATGATTATACTCGTTACAGTGATCTGTGATCACTGACCTTTGATGTTACTACTACGACTTGTTCACATGATGACTGGCAATTTTTAGCAATAAAGTATTGTTAAATTAAGGTACGTACGTTGTTTTTTAGACATAATGCTATTGCACATTTAACGGACTACAGTATAATGTAAACGTAACTTTTAGACGCACAGGGAAACCCCAAAACTCGTGTGACTCGAGTTACTGCGATATTTGCTTTACTGTGGTGGTCTGGAACTGACCCTGCGATATCTCTGAGGTATGCCTGTACTGACTAAATGCTGGGATGCAGAGCCCATCACAGTCTAAGAGAAGACTACGGGAGAATGTTCGGTGTCCTGAAATCTCCCAGGCCAGCCGTGTGGAAGGTACCTGTTGCTGTACGTGGCGGACTCCAAGTTACTAAACCAGAGGCTCTCATTGTACTTCTCAATCGCTTGCTTATGGTTCCCCTTCTTTACAAGCTCATTGCCTTCCTCCTTCAGAACTCTGGCTCTCTCCACATCCCCAGCAGAAGGCACTAGATACAAATTCAGAAGAGGAAAAAACCATGGAGCAGGTGCCCAGCTGAGCTCCAGGAGATCTCTTGGGCAGCGTCTCTTCTAAGCCGTCTACAACGCTCTGTCCCCAGAGCGTTCCTGCACTGTGTAAAGCATCCTGCCTGAGTAATGAGACCCCCGATCAATGGCTTCTGGGATATTAAACAGTTTTTCCTTTGGAAGAGATTGGGACTCCTGATATAATCATACGTTTACACACACAATGATAAATACACAATAAAAAGTAACCCAGGTTCTGGCCTCAGCACTGCCACTCAGTAGCTGGAAGTCCTATGTGACCTACCTAATGCTTCTGGACCTCAATTTGCTCACCAATACAATGGGGGCAATATCTATTCCACACAGGGCTACTCACACTTTCTCCTGTGAGAAAACAGGAGAAAGTGCAGAGCACCCTATAAACTTAAAGCAGGAGAATAAGTGAGAAAGTATTTAAATAAACAAGCATCTGGTAAAAATGGGTGAAGATCCTGGGCTTCCAGAAAAGGGCAGAGGTATCTGCTACTCCTCAGTTGTTTTGGTCTGAGCCTGTGAGTGTTCTCCCCAACTCGACACCTGCAGCTGTACCCCAGCCTTCGGGGTGGCGGGGTGGGGAGAGGGAGAAAGGGAGAAAAAGAGAGAACAAGGTGAAATGCCAGCTGCTCCACCTGGCCTTGGGGCCCTCCACTGCACCGCCCCAGTTAATTATTCCAGCCCCAGCTCCCATATAACCTGCTTTTTCAATTCTTAAAAACTATCTTTATAAAATACTCAATACTTATGACAAGGGTAAGGTTTTAGGAATAAAACTAATACCCTTGAACTCATCCCTCACCTTAAGAAACAGAACATTTACTAAGACCTTTGAAATCCTGTGAGCCTCTCCCGCAATCAATCCACCCCGGGAGGAAACCGTCATCCCCAATTCTGTGCACACCAACCCCCCCGTTTTCTTGGTTAGTTTAACTATATATACAATAGTATCTATAAACTATTTATTGTTTACGTTGTTTTAGAACTTCAAATAAAGGAATACATAATTCTATGTATTTTTTTTCCCCTCAAAATTATATTCCTGAGATTCATCTGTGTGGATGCATATACCTGTAACTCCTTCATTCATTCTCATTGCTGCAATGCAACTGATTTATCCGTTCTACTGTTTATGGAGACTTCGGTTATTTTGCTTTTCGCTGTTACCAAATTTTTTTAATTAAAAAAAAAAATTATTTATTTATTTATTTTTGGCTGAGTTGGGTCTTCATTGCTGCGTGGGCTTTTTCTAGTTGCGGCGAGCAGGGGCTACTCTTCGTTGTGGTGCGCGGGCTTCTCATTGCGGTGGCTTCTCTTGTTGCAGAGCACAGGCTCCAGGCACACAGGCTGCAGTAGTTGTGGCATGCAAGCTCAGTAGTTGTGGCTCACCGGCTCTAGAGCGCAGGCTCAGTAGTTGTGGCGCACAGGCTTAGCTGCTCCGCGGCATGTGGGATCTTCCCGGACCAGAGCTCGAACCCGTGTCCCCTGCGTTAGCAGGAGGATCCTTAACCACTGCGCCACCAGAGAAGTCCCTCTTACAGAATTTCTGCTCTGAACGTCCCTGTACATGTCTCCTTGTGCACACGTGCACGAGTTTCTCTAGAAGCAGAGCCAGTGGGTCGCAATGTGCACACATCCTCAGCTTCACCTCGGCTCTGCAACGCACCCCACACTGCCCCATGCTTGTCCCCGCGAGCCAACAGCGATGCCCCACCACTTCATTCTCTCACTCCTTCCACTGCCTCTGCCGAAAACCCCCTTCCCTTCGCGCCTGAAGAGCTCACCCTTTCAGGCCCAGCTCAACCTGTCACCTCCAGGAGCCTTTCCCCAGCTCTCCCAAGCACACTGATGGCAGTTCCCAATTTGAATTCCTCAAACATTAGAGACTCTAAAGCACCTGTTCTTCCTCCTGTATTTTATTATTATTTTTAAAAATTTATTGACATACAATTTATCTACCATAAATTCACCATTTTAAAGTGTACAAATCACTGATTTTAGTGTATTCCCAAAGTTATGCAACCATTACTACTACCTAATTCCAGAACATTTTCATCACCTCCAAAAGAAACCCCATACCTGTTAGCAGTCCCTCCCATTCCCCTGCCCCCATCCTCGGTAACCAGCAATCTACTTTCCGTCTTTTAGGATTTGCTACTGTGGACATTTCATCTAAATGGAATCACACAACATGTGCTCTTTTGTGACTTCTTTCACTTCGCATAGTGTTTTCAAGGTTCATCTGTCTTGTACCATGTATCAGAATTTCCTTTTTATGGCCAAATGATGTTGCACTGTATGGATATACCACATTTTGTTTATCCATTCATCATTTGAGGGACATTTGGGTTGTTTCCACTTTTGGGCTGCTATGAATAATGATGCTGTGAACATTTGTGAACAAGCTTTTATGTGAACATGTGTTCAGTTCTCTAGGAGTGGGACTGCCGTTGCGTAGCTCTTAAGTGTATGTTCGTTTTAATGCATCTCATGTGAAGCCCTTTACACACATAAAACTTTCAGCCCCGGCTTGGGACTTGAGTGAGCAGATAGGAACCTATCTCACCAGCAACACGTGGTGGGGTCCAAGTCAGCTGGAAAGCCCAGCCAGAGTCCCACTAGCAATTCTTTTTCCTCTCTCCCGTGCCCTGAGAGGCTTCATGGTTTCTTCCATTCAAGATGCTGTCTATTTAATAACAATTCAGAGGGCTGGGGTAGGGGAAGTGGTGGCAGGCAAGTTTCTTTTTTTTTTTTTTTTTTTTTTTTTTTT